GACTCTGTGATAACAATCACACTAGTGTATCTCCTGTGGACACAGCGCAAGCGGATCCCCGGACATCAACAGTAAGTTGATAGGTGTGCCAGGGCATACTGAAATTGGTCGAAGGACAGTACTATTTGTGGACAAGATCATTATGTGGACACTGGGTGTGTATTCCATGTTCATGTATACTACATATGTTATAATCACAACCAGAAACAGGTATCACAACAGCGTGAGTAGATGTACACGACGTAGACAATATCAGACTTATATTTACCTGAGCACAGCATGTTCTCTATGACTGTTCTCATTTGTGTGAGTATGGAGTGTTGGGAAATACTAGTACTGATATATTGGCCTTAAAGTTTCATTCTATGCCAGACAGTTGTAAAGCACATTTATTTCATTACTTTTATTTTTTTGCTTACCTGTCCTTCTCAGTTATCTGGGTTGCCCTGTTTGTCATAGAAGCAAGAAGTTGGGCTTTACATTAACCTGCTAAGGATCAAGGCTGAATGTTTTATAGTTTTTGCAAACTCATTTTTTGCAAGGTGAATAGTAAATACTACTATACTGCTTAAACTCAATATTATGCTTATATTTCCTAGTCTCAACTCACGCATAGTTCTGCGTGACTTGCTACAGGAGTCATTGGATACTAGAACATGTGGTATACAGTTTCTTTCTAGAGCTACAAGCCAAGCCCCAGATTCTGATACTCAGCACTAGTTATTTATTGCTTATGATTTGTTTAATGTTGAATTTGAAATTGTGATATGAAACTATACTCACACCGGGGTTTCAGCCAAAAAATAGTACCCTAATCAGGATTTATATATATAAGAAATAATGGTCCAAAACAATAGCCTTTTTTGCTGCTTTGATATGCAATAAAAGCTGCAAAAATTGTATCTAATTTACAAGAAATCAAGTTCTCTATCATGGTATCAAATATCACATTCTAGATCATGTTTTGTAAACAATAAGTGTACATTATCCAAGCCCAAATATTTGTCAAAGAACTAGTGTCACATTATTAGTACCCCAATTTGTTACATATAAGGGTGATTTGTTATATATAATAGCAATTTGTCACTTATTTCTGATATATTAGGTACACTTTGCACTGGGGGCAAATCCCATGGCATGCCAGCCATGACGTGCTTGGCAGCTCTGGTAGCAGAACAGACCAGTGAGACCACTGCCTTTGAGCTCAAAGAGATTCCTTTGAGCAGTCAAAGGGCTGACTGCCCAAAGACACAAAGATGCTTCTTTGTGCTCTGAGGCTACTGCAATGCCTGCATCGAACCACTGTCGAGTCTGCCATCGAACTGCCGTCGAGTCTGCCATTAACACGCCGTGGCTTGTATGCCGCGGAGTTTGCCTCCAGTGTTGGTGCTAGCCCAGATTTTTGATATATATAGTCTTATATCTTGTAAATTATTTGGTGCATTTATTTGTTGCAAATCATTACCACAAAATTGTCAGCTGATATTGGCTCTGAGTTCAGTCCAATCTGATGACTTAATATATGCTTTACAAATTAACTCTATTTTCCTGGAGTTTTATTTATTATTGTTCCACGTTGTGCAAATATACAATTTTTTGTCCACTATTTATCATAAATTAATCCTACTTCAGGGCTTATTTTTTGGCAGAAACCCCAGTGTGACTCTTATTACTAACATGGCAGGCAATTATATATCTATTAGCAAGAGGTTGCCTAGAGTCCCTTAGGGGGGCCATACTTTGTTGAATGTATATTAAGGATTTAGATATAAGCAATTACAATACATATTTATACTTACTTCTTTCTTTGTCAAGAAAATCCCTCCTTCATAGATAAGTACTATACTAGGGATGCTGCCCGTGGCCATGGCCACGGGTCGACGGGACCCGTCAACAGGTAGCCGTTACCGTACCTTCGGGGCTTCTGGTGGAGTCCCTGACGGGACAGTTACGGTTCGGGTGTAGGCCATAACAGCCGTCGAATTATGGCCACGACGGCCGTTGGTACAGGTCAATGGGTATCATAGAGCAAATCACCTGTTTACTCACCATTGCAACAGTGATTTGCCGCCGATCTGCGATAACTTCATAGGCAGCAACAAATGGACAATGTGTCAGGTGTATACCGACTTCCCGACCCCCTCCGCAGTCCCATCGAAAGAGATGATGTAACATTGTCATGTCACACCGGGCCCTAGCCCGGCCTGGCCGAAGGTCAGCATGTGGTGTCAAGCCTAATCTGGAGCTGCATTCTGATTTTTCATGACAGCGGGTCATTTATCAGCCATATCGGGTCTAAAAATGGTGACATTGTGGTCAACTTGATGGAATCAGAGCCGGAGGCCGTCCCGTAACCGTTACAGCCATCCTGTTGCCCGTCCCCGTACCGTCAGGCTCTCTGTTATGCGCTCGGACGGCCGTGATTTCAACAGCCGTCGCCATAGCCCACCCGTCACATCGACGGCCCGTTGCCGTTACGGCAATGGCTGACATCCCTATACTATACTGATCTGTGACTGCCACCGACTGTGTGAGTAGCATGGCACTGGCCACTGGACTGCATACTATCAAGCCTGTTGAGGACCAAGTTGATAATCACAAGTTGATAGTCATAAGATAGACACCCTAAGTTATCAAAGTTGGATATAACATCAGAATTGATCATCATTATAGTAATTTTAAGCTTCTCTTCTTCCGGCTGAAGACCTGGTATATAGTTTGAAACACTTTATAAATATATAATAATCAATAATCCCAATTTAGACAAAATAATGTACGTGGTTACAATCATCAAAGCATTTGATGGCAAATATATTTCCATACTAAGGACAGTATATACTTTACTATTTTAATCAGCTCATTAGCTACAGAGTGGCTGCATGACTAACGAAGATTGCATTGCATGGAGCTTGTCAGTATGGGGCTCGGGCTGTATCGGGCCATCGGGTCGTCCCACAGCGAGGGGGTCTGAGGAGCACGAGCAGGGCATATATAAGGTATAATAGTATATACTGTACTTTATCACTTAGATCACCTATTATACTACCTCACCCTATGCAAGGAGGCATCACTGAGTCAACGCCAACTCATTGGGCCTTGTCGACCTGACCTGACCCTGACACCAACACCCACTTTAACAGGCCCTTTTAGTTCGATTTGAACCTGCCCGCCGTACTTGTGGGCCTGACAATTCATCTATTCTGTTCCGGACACTTGTTTCTCAAGAGGAGTCTTGCATAGCCCAACCTGAATCCTGACAGTCAGGTTTAAGTAGGGTCAGGGTTAGGGGAGTCAGGGTCCAAGTTGAGTTAAGTAGACCCAGAGCTGTACCTGTGCTTCATCCTACAAGTGGTAAGACCCTACAAGTGGTAAGCAGTAAACAGGAAGAGGGATTTAGTGCTGATACTATTTGAGCCAGGCTAGCCCTAAACTAACAAAGCTGATATTTTGGGAGTATTTCACCTTCTGTGAGTCAACTATTATAAATTTTGAATAGGTTTGAATTGAACACTTACTCAATCAATGAAGCTCTACTACTATGTGCAATATGGAGTCATTTGGTTGACTTTGGATTTTGAAGTCAATTTAATAAACCTTGACTTGTAGTGAAAGTCTGTGGTTTTGTAATCAACCATATTAGGGTTGAAATCAAGTTTGTAGAATTTGGAAATACCTTTCTGACCATATCTGACTTTTGATGAACAGCCTAGAAACCATCAAGTAATTGGGTTAACAATCTAATAGTCAAAATGTATTTTGTAATAAAGTCTGTGGTTTTGTATACAATGAACTTTATGTTGAATACCAGTTTATAGGCCAATTGAACACCTTCCTGCTCATATATAACATGTTAGGAACGGATAAGAACTCATTAAGATATGACCCTACCACTGTTTTGAAAACTCAGGGTTGGGTCAGTAATTTGCATTTTCTGACTCAACCATTGACTTTGAAGCATAGGTCTAAACTGAATAGTAACATGTATTAAGGGTCCCTACAATCTGGTAACATTTATTAGAAAGTTTGTATAAAGTCATTACAAAGTTGTTATCCCATTCATGCTAATTATGTATTTAAATATGTAGCTGGAGACTGAACTTGTAGGGTCTACCCGGAGATCAGACCCTTGGGGTTGACTTGAGGGTTAACTTGAGGGTTGACCCTCAAGTCACTGATATACATACAATATCTCTTACAATTTCTCCAATGTATATACTGACAGTTTTAATCACAATTTCTGGCATGAATAAATTTGAGATTTCAACAATGATTTCATTGTACTGTAAACCTACAGTTTCAGCAGTGGAGAAATGCAAATAGAAACAAAGAGAATCTATGTGCATTTCTCCACTGCTGATTTCCTTTGTATCATCTGTGCTGAAACTGTCAGTTTCGCCATATTTGATGTGTGTGATATCATGACCAAATATATGTGCACAGATATCAACCATTTCAGGCATAGTTTCAGTCCCATAGATAGTTTTCATCTCAGACTGCCTAAAACTAGTCTATATTTGACTAAAATCATTCTCAGTTTCAAAAATGTATATTTTGGGCAAATCTCAATAGGTTGATTTGGTTCTAGATTCTACCAGAATCTACAACAGTTTCTACTTCAAGGGATATTTTACCAAATCCGGTGTGTTTTTGTTGTGCCTTCCCCATCCGGCTATTTCAGTGCCAAAGGCGCCAAAAATGACACAGAATGACCCTTTTGGGAAGGGTTTCCAGCCCAAGTTTTGGGGTGGTTTCTGCATAACCAGTGAATTGTCTAAAATACTACCTTAGTATGTCCTATTCAAAGTTTCGCTTCCCAGTTTGGTAAAACTTGACAACATTTGATGATAAGTTTGCACGCAAAAAATATCCTTGTTCTGACATGAAAGGACTTGTAAGGTTGTCCATGCTTAGGTCATTCATTTGTCTCAGAACTTGTAGCAAACAAAATGACTAACAAAGATAGTAAACAGTAACAATATTCTCTCTACACCATCATATCACTATTTAGTATTGTCCAATACCACACATTCCTTGAATCCCAGATGTTTAGCCACCTCCAGTGAGTATGGATCAAACCCTCTGCCACTAAAGTATTCAACAATAGCAGCATACACCTCATCTTTCCATGAGTAGCCCCTGACCTCCAGTCTGATATCAAGCTCAGGGAGTCCGGCCCCGACAGCATCTGCCACAGGCTCATTGCCCCAAGGGTCAAGAGACCAGTAAGCAATTTGCGCAGGGTATCTAATTTTATGGCCGTCGAGAAACTCCCAGTGTGGACATAGGAAAAGATATGCCCCCGTGCTATTCTCAGCCAGTGGCTTGGATTTGAACCCCACTATACATAACATACTCTTCAGAAATGCTACATGGAGATCAGCATCTCAGTTGTCAAGTCTGGATACACTTGCTATATCGATTGCGATTCTCAGAAACACCGAGTTTATGGAAAATGGAGGGTGCCTGGGCAATCCATGATGTTGGAGCATCCGTATTGTTGCCAATCGACATCACAAAAAAGCCAGGCTCACGCTGGTCGGCCCAGATTTTGAATGGATACCGTAGCCTAATCAGAGTGAAAATATCAGCAATTGAGCCCAGTACATCAAGCAGGAGAAATAGACTGACCGTGACCAACCGGTGGTTGGGGCCACGGGAATAGCACTGTCCTCTAGCCCACCATCCATCCGCGATAGGCGATCCTTCGCCTGCCATTCAAGTTGCCCCACAGGCAGCTTGCATGGAACCCGCACTACGGCGGGCCCGGGTGTATATTGATCCATGTGAGGTGGAACACCCTCTGAGCGTTTCAGGACAGTGTAGAGTTCTAGGTTTGAGTGTGAGGGGCCCAGTTCCTGTGGATACTCCCGGTCGCTGGCTTCAAATATCACCCAGGATGTAAAGCGGTTCATGCTCCACTCCTTGATCATTTCCTGGGTACTGATGGCAACTGGATGCGTCGGCAGTATATAATGATCGGGCCACCCACCCCAGTAGGTCGTATGACGGCGCGGCCCATATCGTGCTGGTGCTGCCGGATATATCTCAAGGGTTAGGCAACGCGTCGAGCGGCGCATCCAAAGGGTGAACATGGTGGAAGTCTGACGGTGGAGCTTCAATTCCATCAACGCATGACGCAACACACACACACCGTATACTTGAGGCCCATTTTTGTTGCAAAGTAGTGAGCAAGTGCCTGGTTTTTGTAAAATGAAAAACAGTGACCGTCCGACTTCGATTTAGCACCATACCCCAAGGCTTTCGGCCTGGCATATGATTAGGGTCGATATATCAACTGGCCATCGACACACGACGCACAACGTAGGATTGATAGTACATTGTGGCAAGGGTAGATGTTTCTTGAAACATTTGTTCCGGTGGAATGAGGTCTGGGAATGGGACCGTCAGAAGGAGCCTCGCATCACATACTAGGACGCTTACCGTCGTGAAATACTGCGGCATAGATACCTCTGCGACTTGCGACTGCAAATAATTGCAGGAAACCGGGGTGGCTTCAAGTCGGTCAGACTGGCTACGCCACAGGCGGAAGGACAATGCGCACTGGAAGCTGGCATGTTGTGTAATCGCTCGCAGCCATTCCTATACACCCTGAGCACGAGCAGTCAGTCATAACATGAGCTCGCACCTGTTGTGCCTCGTCCCCTTCGTAGACAGCGACGCTCATGTCAGACGTCGAGCCATATATCTTGGCGGCATACATCGAACGTGAAGCCTTGGGAGTGTAGCTGACCAGTTTCCCATCGGAACTAGGCGTAGATCGCAGCCGCAGATGTCGCAAGTCTATATCGCCCCATCGAATTCGTCGGTAATCGTCTACGATGTCTGTCATCCTCGGAGGAAGAATAAGCAGGGCCAGCACACACCTTCATCTTCGGCATTTGCCTCCGGTGCGGAAAAGTGGAGACGATAGGAAGTGCTGACGGCGTTGAAGCTCCCGCCATTTACCGTGAAGTTTTGCGCATGCGAGAATATTTGCGGAGCTCCACCCTCTCGCTGCATCGACCCCGACTCAAGCGTCGCTCCCCCCCATGAGGGTAGTATCCGTATTATCGAGCTCTGGATTGGGCATGAGGATCAATGGCAAAGGACGAGATGGGAGGAAGACAAGGGACGAAAGCTGTGATTGATCGACAGTCGCCTCGAGGCATTACTTCTCATCGCACAGGAACGATGAATCCAATGACAAGGACACAGAAAGCATACACATATGCCATAGCATGAAATGGTCGGCATTACATCGCGAGCTAGCTACAACATCTCATACGAGGTCGGGCATGTCTTCATCACCGCCCGCTTTCTTGGCCGTCGCGGTCTTCGCCTTCTTCGAGCGAGACGCCTTCGGTGAGTACGTCTTGGGCTCCTTTTGCGCCGCGAGGAGGGCGGAGACACGAGCCAGGGCGGCCTTTGCGAAGAGTCAGCATAGGCATCGAGAAATGTAGGAAAGAGATAGAAAGGGAGGGTAAATGGGAAGGGCAAAAGGAATGTGAGTCCCAAAGAGTCGGTCAAACCGCGGCGGAGCGACGAACGGGTGCCGATAGCGACATGGGACACTCCCAGGGAAGGTTTGATCGGCCTCGGTCCTGGGGTGGGTCGATATTGCAGACATGTCCACGCCCACATCCCGTATCGAGCAGGATGCGGGTTCTAACGAGAATGCGTTGACAGGATGGCGGATGTAGGGGAGGGAATGAGGTGGCAAAGCAGCAAAGGAAATGTACCAAGACGAATGGGTAAACAGCAAGACGAAGAGGAAAACGGCAAGACGAATAGGAAACTAGGTAAAGGGAAAGGGGACGAAAAAGAGTGGAAGAACATGAAGTCCAGATAGAATGAGTACTCACAGTGCGCAAATCAGGCCTGCCCGCCTTCTTCACAGTGATAGTAGCAACGACGCCCGCTGCCCGACGGCCGCCCGTCCGGGAGCGCAAGACGTCCTTCGAGGTGGCTTTGGCAACAGAGCTGGGGCCCGCCTTTTGCTTGCGCGACACAACGACTACACCATTGCCGGAGTCGGAGATGGCGACCGTCTGCAAGGGGGGTCAGCGCGCTGTGGTCAAAAGGGACAGCGATGACGCACCTTGGCGTTAGCGAGGCCAGAGAACTTGTGAGAGTGGAGGTTGCGGAGGTTGCCCTGCACGGGTGGTCAGAGCTGGCCGTGGTCAAAGCGGAGGTCGACATACGGGCTCCTTGGAGAAAACCTGCCCGACTTCAGCGCCGCGCTTGACGATGAAGGAGTTGTTTTTCTGCGCGGGGAGGTCAGCGTTGTGGGCCGGAGTGAGGGGAGAGGCGTACGCGGAGGAGGAGCCATTGCAAGTCGGTCGACATCGTGAAGGGAGTGGAGGAGGGCGTTTTTGAAGGAAGAGACGTGGCGGTGCGGATGGCTAGCTGCACGTGTGATGGTCACCATCGGGTCACGTCATCCGGTGGTGACATCGCTTCTGATGAGAAACATCCGCGCGAGGCACTGCTCAGTCTTGACAGCTTTTGCTTATGTCTCGTCCAGGTCTCCGTCCCTCCTTCATCCGTCCCTCCATCATGCCCATCGACAATACTGAAGCGGAACGCGCACCGACCAACTCCAGCGCGACACCCTTCGAGCTGCCAACTCCTCACATGTTCACCAACTCCAGCAACTTCACGATCACCGGCGGGAACTTCACCGCAGCATCGTACCAACTGAACTTTGCCGCGCCGCATTCGGATGTGGACGATCAGGGCGTGTAACGGTGTCTCTCTCCCGCCCAAATGGCCTAACTCCAAGTCCGTAGACGATTATCGACGGATTCGATGGGGTGATATAGACCTTCGACACCTACGGCTCCAGTCCACGCCTCATTCCGATCTTGGCACTGTCGGCCGCGTGCCAAGTGCTTCACGCTCGATGTATGCAGCAAGGGTATATGGATCCACATCCGAAATGAGTGTCGCTGTTTATCAAGGCAATGGTGCACAACAAGTTTGTTGTTCACTTAAGGCAGAAGAAATCTGAGAACTGATCATGATACTTGACAGGAGTGGTTGCGGGCCATCAAAGAACATGGTGCCTTATGGTATATGCTTTTGCAATAAGTGAGATAATATTCTGATTGTGTTCAAGTCACCCTGCTGTCCTGCAATTATTTGCAACTTCAAGTCACAGAGGCATTTATGCGGCAGTGTTTCATGATGGTATCACTATTATAATCCAATGTGTGATAAAGTCATTAAATAACTACTTTCTTAGATCTGATACCACCAGAAAACATATGTCAGGAGTCATCTAGTCTAGCAACAGTTTATTACCGGCAATACTTTGTAAGTTTTGTATGTAATTATAGTCCTACTAATTTCAGACAGGAGAAAGAAATTATGGTAGGGTAAATGATTATTAGAATTATTTTCCCTGACATTATGGAAAACAGAAAGTGGCACCATATATTTGTACAGCAATAGGTCGCCAATTTATAGTATGATAGCTTCTAGCAGTCTGATATACCTAACTGAAGTTTAGAAACCTCAAATGTTGACTCCTTGGATACGATCCTCAACACATTGCATAACACTGGAGATATATCCACTTTCAAGACTAGAACCCTTCAGGCCTGGCCTAATGCGGACTGATATATATCACTTGGTTATAGGCAGCTCTTGTTCCAACATCATTGCACCAATGCATCCAGTGGCTGCAAGTGTTCTAGACATGATCAGCATGTTGTCTCTTGAGCAATTTATTGTCAGGATAACATCACATGAATGCAAGCCAATGTATCTGCTGCTACATCAAAGTTCCTTCAAGCTTCATACTGTGTGCTTCCTTACAGACTTTGCCCAATCACTCAACCCTTGGCTGTGTGATCGATACTTCAAGGAACATCGTGATCTTAAAGGCTGGACAGATGATGTTGAATATATAGTGCACTTTCCATATGAGACAGATGTGCAGCAGCATATCCAGGCCACAGAATCTAAATGGACAAGAGGCTGGTGGAGTGGGCATCTCAAGCATCAAATTGTTCAAATGGGAACTGGATGGTCAAGGTATGCATTGAGAGACCCTCTAGCATTATATATTTGATTATTAAGTAATTATTTCTAGGCTTCAATATCCATTTAGGCTCTTAGCAATACAGATGGATGTTGGGTTCGGGGACCTGGACGCAAATTATACCCATAATGACAAGCTGAAAGTTCAGACTGCATGGATTACCCAGGCTGCCTACATCTTTCAGCAACTTAAGATCTCAAAGAATCGCCATCGATTTTGTCTGTAATTGTACTGCTTTGAAACTTTAGATACTAATATCATCTAGTACTTCTCAGGGATGCAACATGCACAGTCTCTTTCAAGATCAAAAGTAGCCAACAGTATAAGAAAGATACTCCAGCATATCTTTTTCTTTGTCCATATTGGATGTTCTTTGACGGTACCACCATCACACGACCAGAAAGGATTGCATACTGGTCTCTGGATCCAGAGGGGGATGAGCCCCTGAATGATGCCCGACTTCCTGAGCTTAGTATTAACATGAGCATTCATGGCTTCTATTGGGAGGACGAGGCATATGATGCCCTGATTGAATTCTTCACTGGCAAAGGATTTGATCCTTATTCTCTGGATGTAGCAAAACATTTTGGGGTCAAGGAGTGTGTAATATTCGATAAGCAGTGTTGACAAGAGTGACAATGCTGTATAACAAGGGCAGCACACAAGGATAGCATTGAGTTAACAATATACAGTTAAAGTGCAAAAGTTATGTCATAAACAAAAACTAAATATATAACAATTGCGATCACATTTAGTTTGATTATTTTCAGGCTTGTTTTTCTTAAGTTGCAATAATAATTTCTTCTGTCAGAACCCTTAAAGACAAGGAGTTAGACCCTTTAATAGGGAAGGATCTAACAAGATTTTTACCATCACACAGTCACATCAAAAGTTTCTGTAATCTGAGTTTCTGGAGCCACTATGTATGTCATCAATTTTGGCTCTCCTCCACCTCCAATATGGCACCTATGGCTTGATAGTAGTTTAAACTGGCATAGGGGGGAGTCCATATGTATACATGTTTTGTACTCTATATAACATCATGTGAATAGTTTAAATACCCAACTTACAGGAGAATATTGTGTTTTGGGAGGACCTTGTATTCACTCTTTGGATCCTCCCCTACGAGGACCTTGACCTCACAAACAAATAAAACAGGGGTGTTTATAAACCAGTTTACAAAAATCCCTATAGAAACCAAGCCCTAGTTGGTAGTTGCTAATTAATTGCTCTACTAGTAATCACACTTGGGTTTCAGCAAAAATGGTTCCCTAAGCAGAATTCATATATAAGACATAGTGGTCCAAAACAATAGCCTTTTCTTGCTGTTTTGATTGATATGTACTAAAAGCTGCAAAAAATTGTATTCGATTTACAAGAAATCAAGTTCTGTATTGGGGTATCAAATATAGTGTATATTGTGACTACCCTGTTCTTAACCATGTTTTGTAGACAATAAGTGCACCTGATTTAAACCCAAATATTTCTCAAAAAATAGTTTTACATTAAGTATTATTACTGCAATTTGTCATATATAAAGGTGATTTGTCATATATAATGGCAATTTGTCACCTATCTCGAACATATTAGGTACATCTTAGTGCTGTCCCTGATCTTTGATATATATGATCTCATATCTTATGACATATTGAGTGCATTTAATTGCTAACAATTGCAGCCACAAAATTGCCAGCTAATATTAGCTTTAAGTTAAGTCCAATCTAATAACTTAATATATGCCTCCATCTTCTTACAAATCAAGTCTACTGTTTCTGAAGTTTATTTATTACTTATCTTTCACAGTTGGTAAAATATACATATTTTTTGTCCACTGTTTATTATAAATAAATCCTACTTTGGGGCCTATTTTGAGGCAGAAACCCCCAGTGCGAATGTCCGACTAGATCACTATCACAGTTTTCTTTTACAAAAAATATTATGCACAAAAATTGAGAAGTTTCTGAATTTCCATCTAAACAGGCTCTTAATATGGGTTTCCTTCGCGGAGTTTCCTAAGAGGTTCAGTATATAGTTTCTATCTTTTTTTTTCACTTTGAGTTGACTTTGAGCAGTGTAAGATGTACATAAAAATAGATCGATTAATCAGTGAGGCCAATGGGGAGAGTCTCAGCCCCGGAGGCGCTCCAAGACTTTTACCATCTATCATGTGAGTCACAATTCCCACTCGTGGCTCAAGGCACCTTAAAATATATACCCTCCTCCGGTGGGGATCGAACCGTCGACGAATCCTAAGAACTTCCTTTGCCGCTTGTTAGTCATCAAGAAGAGCACGATGGCTTTAGAACCTGGCGCCATTTCTCGAACAAGCCATGTACATAATGAATGACTACTTAGTGGCTCTGTACTCGCAGGCCTCGAGGCGTCTAGGCTCCCCCTCCTTGTCCTCGACCACCATGAGCGCCGACGTTGATACCGCTGTCGCCCAGCCGGCGCCGCTCACGCGAAACGAGCGGTACTACCTCAACGACGTCATGTCCGTCTTCCAGGCACGTCTACCCTCCCGACAGAGCGGGCCCCACTGACGAACGCTGCCCCAGGTCGAGACCCAGCTCTTCAAGATCCACCGCCACTTCCTCGTGAAGGAGTCCGAGGTGTTCAACACGATGTTCCAGTGCCCGCCTGGGCCCGGCGCGGAGACGCCCGACGGGGCGGACGACGCGCACCCCATATTGACGCCGGGCGTGACCGTCGCGGAGTTCGAGGCGCTGCTCGACTTCTTCTATACAGAGTGCGTCGCTGCCACATTATCCGCCGTTGCCATCGAATTTCCTGATCATCGCGGCCAGCGAGTTTCACGAGGACTGCCCCGAGCTGCACACGTGGCTCGACCTGCTGTCCATCGCGACGCGCTACGACTTCCAGCGTCTCCGGGAGCGCGCCATCGACGTAATCGACGGGCACAGGTGGAACGGCCGCCAATGGGGCGTGTGCGAAGAGTTCGACCCCATCACGCGCATCGTCCTCGCAGAAAAGCACGCCATCCCGCACTGGCTGACTACCGCCTACATCGCCCTCTGCGAGCGCGGGACCCCGCTCCAGCTCCACGAGGTCCGCACAATCGGCGTCGAGAAGGCCGTGCTGATCGCCGAGGCGCGGGAGAAGATCCGCGACATCGAGCACGCGGTCGACCGTGACGACGCTGTCGAATATATGCAGCTGCCAGTGCCGCCGTTCACTGGCACAATACCGGAGCTCCACGTGCCGCGCCCCCCGTCTCCCAACGGCTTTTATCACGACCGCAGCCGGGTCCGCGCCGTCATTGACGCTGTGTTCAACCCCCCGCCCCCGCCGCCGATGGAGGAGGATGAGTGAATGGCCCCGCGCCGGAGATTTCTTGACCAAAAAAGCGAATATTTACTGTGATCCAATTATTCGAGATGCGAAGAGGCGACCTGTGTATATACCTCCCGAATACAATACTGCCGCGCGAAGAATAGCCCTACTGAACATTTGGTTTCAGCAGGGAGACGACACCGGCATCATGTGCTGGCGGCAATCTCTGACCTCCTTCGCCAAGGTTCTCTGCCAGGGGAGAACATCCGAGGGAGTACCATGAGATAAGTATGGGGGTTCGGACGAGTGTTCTGTAGTCCCATTGGGGAAGGCGAAATGTGTCGGGTAGGGATTGCAGTCAGGGTCGGAAGAGAAAGGAAGAAAAGTAGCAGGGTGAATAGCTGATGAAGTGTCCGAGGCAAAGCTTCCTACTTCGACGCGGTCAGTATAAAACGTAGGTAAGAACAGGCAGCGCTGACGCACGAGAAGCCCTACGGGTGGGTTTAAACCGGCATACGCATCTGACACGACCACATCTTCTTCGTCTTACAGCTAGTCTTGAGCTACAAGCCCAACTGGCGGCACTGCAGAGCCCATGGCCAGCAACCTGTAAAGCGAGCTAGTCGGACTCAGTGGCCGGAATGGAGCGAAAACAACTAAACGCACACAAATGAAGTTCCACCCCCTCAAGACCTCCAACCGTCGCACAAACACCTCCACGACTTTGACCGAGACGCCGTTGTTCTCCTAGATTCGTCACGTCCGCCCTCCCCTGGGCAACCGGCTCTAAGGTCCACGAGGGGAGAAGGAAAGCACGAGTGCGTTACACGCACGTTGCTTCAACGAAGGCGGACGTGAAACCGTCGGAAGGATGGGGGAGAATGGCGGAAGGAATTGGTTTGTTGGAGATAGATATTCGAATCTGCAATGCGGAGCAAGATGCCACACAGGCCGAGGTTCTCGTGCGAAAGCCGGCGGTGTATTTGGGCCTGACTAGAGAGAGGACAAAGCGAAGGGTGCTCGTGTCACCTTCCGATGGCCTGCAACGCGTGGTGCAGCTTTAGTAGTAGCTGGAAAGGGGCTGAAACACTTCTGCAGACCGATGCCAGGCGGCACAACACGTAGTCTCACTGCTCCCCGGCGCCCACCCTCGATTTGGCCTTTTTATGAATATCGGACTGCTTCTCCGTGATGCGACTTCGTTAACTTGTCTTGAGCACCAGCTGCCGAGAGCTGACGACTTCAGAAAGGGTGGAGAACTTTAGAGTAGAGACAGAGAATAGGAGAGGACGCGCAGGACCGTGACACGAGCGTGGAAAGCAAAAAAGACGGTTGTGACACACTCTCCTTTTGACATCACGACGATGACGGAGCCGCCGCCGAAACGCAAGCGCTCCGACTCTGAGGCCGCGGTAAACCTCCTTACGCGCTCAGACGTGTGGTTCGACGACGGAAACATCGTCGTCCAGGCACAGACGACCCAATTCCGCGTCTTCCGCGGCACCCTCGCTTTTCATTCGCCCAAGCTCAAAGCCCTCATCGATGCGCTGCCCGAAGACGCGACTCTCATGCTGGAGGAGGACCCTGTGGACTGGGAACACGTCTTTAAGAAGCTTTTCCACCAGTGTGTCGTCAAAGTTTTCATTTCTTCTTTCGTCTGCTCATTCCTCGGTGTCTTAGCGTATACCCAGACAAAGAGCCGCTTCCGTTCGCTGTAATCGCAGCGTTCGCCCGTATCGGGAAGAAATACGAGATAGAATGGCTCTTACGCAACGCCGTCGAGCGCCTCAATCTCGCATACCCTTCGACACTCAGCGTATGGCTAAGTTCCGACGAAAAGAGCGTGGAGCTCGCTATTGTGCCCGAGCCACCCTTGAGTTCTGCACATGCCACAGTACTGGAGCACGTCCTCGAAGCTAGCATCTTGGCCCGCGAGCTCAACCTAGCGCGGCTTCTACCCATTTCATTCTGGTGGCTTAGCTCCCCCGCCCGCTTCTCGTTACTCGTAACACCCCGCCGCCGCCGCGCTCTCCGAAGCCGACAAAACGTCGATACTGGATGGGTTCCAACAGCGCGTCAAGGCACAGCAGGAGACGACGTTGCGATGGCTTCAAGAAGCCGGCAGCCCCGACTGTACTCGAAAACAGCAATGCCCTCTCTCTCGCCACCAAGTATTTGTGTCCGTTTTCACAAATCTCGGGTGTGAAGCATGGTTTTGGCAAACCCGCTGGGCAAAAGATCTTTGTCAGCCGTGCACTACTTTGGCGAAAGCAGCGCACGACAAGGGAAGGAGAGACCTGTGGGAGCGTTTACCGTCGTTGTTTAATCTTCCGCCCTGGGAAGAGCTTCTTAAATAGGTGGGTCATCGACACCTTCCATACCGCATTCCTGAGCACTTGCACAGTTCACTACTTGCCTTTTGGAATCCGAGAATTGTGAATAGAGCGTTATTTTGAAACTCCCCCACGGTGCTGCGGAATTAACCTACAAGTGAGGTATGTAAAATGCTCCAATCCACGCTCCGCGCATCTTCTGGCGCCAACATGCGCAACGCAGTCAGCGGCAACACAAGCAGAAAATATACAGCAGTCCCAGGCAAATGAACCGCGCGTGGAGGTCTGGCAGTAAATCACATACTTACCTCCCATTTACCGCCGATATATAGACTGTAGGATCACTCAATAAACTACTCCTGCACAAACCTGCATTTTTATCGGAGTCACAACCCAGCTCATACAGTCTATCTTGTGATGCAACAGTTAAACCGCTGTAGGGTGCTGTGAGTTGAAGCTGTTTCGAAACCCGTTTCGAAACGGTTTCAAAACAGGCGTGAGTTTTGAATTCCGCTGAGGTTGACAGCGGTTTCGAAACAGGGCCGGGATGCCCGACGCGTGACGGTCACAGCTCCGGCGATCCGTAGCCCGGCTTGGCCGGCCTAGAGTCCACGGATACAGGTCAATCACATGGCTCAGGAGGGCCCAGCCCCTCGGATGAGGCTTTGACACCCACCGTCTGTGATTGCTCAGTTTTTGTTCACTGGCGGCCGGCGACGGCGTGCGGGCCGAGGAAATTACCTAACCCGGCCCACCTGTTTCGAAACAGTTTCGAAACGGGCCTGTTTCGAAACCGGTTTCGAAACAGGTGTGAGTAATTACTCACAGCACCCTAAACCGCTGGTGCATCTATAGTTCCCATAGCTGGGTTTATTTAATAGCTTTGGCTATGGTTATGGTGACCACAACAAGATAGCTATAGCAAACCGGGGTTTCTGCCCAAAAATGGGCCCCAAAGTAATTTGTGATAAACGGTACATAGACAAAAAAGTTGTATATTTTAAGTGACCTAAGGCTCCAACTCATTACTATCCATATACACTCCAAAGCTGTATTATATTGGGATATGGATAATATTGAGTTATAACCCAATATATTGAGTATATTGTACAAGGGGGCATCATGATGTGAATGGTGGAGCACATGCCAGTTTTTGTTTTTAAGCCTTAGCCCGGCGACCAACCAACCACGTGACCATTAGATAAGATAAGATATACCATAAAAGGATATATTTGATTACAGATGTCTGTGAAGGTGGGTGATGATAAGATTGGTGACACCAGGGTGACATGCACAGTTTCATAGCACTTTCAGTCTCTGCACTTTGGGCAGGGAGCCCTGCCCAAAGCCCCAAGGATATGAACATCTTTCTGCCCCAAGGCCACCAACGCCACTCCAGTTGCCACTGTCACAAGCTGTCTATATTCAGTACCAGCAGGATTGTAGCAGGTAGGACAGACCACAGCTTTACAATCCATGTTCTTCATTCTGACATGGTGGCTTTTGGCCAATGAGAAGGTTGATAGAGCTAGCACATGCACTTCCTTTTGGCCTGTGATTATGCTATAGCTTGCAAAGAGCTTTCAACAAGTTCTAATGCCTATTCTTAGCTTATTCAATGGTCAAGCAGGCATTCTGAGGCTATTGTGCATTTGACCAACCCATTATTAGCCTAATAAAACCCAAATATAATCATTGACAGAAAATATTTTTAAGCCCTCCCTGGGTTACCAACCACCCAGCATGTGGTCAGATCATCACATCATGATGCCCCCTTGATATTGTAGATAATATATTGCTTCAAAATATTATTTTATATATCACAATCCTGAAAGTTATTAACTATTGAGTATAGTTCTGCCATATGCTAGGGACCATAATAACATCTTAGTTACAGGTACTGAAAGTCTGAGAGCTGCAAAAAGATGACATTGAGGTTAACCAAGGATTTAATAGTCAAATATAATAGTAAAACAGCACAGATACCAGATCAAAAGATAAAATGCTGTACTATAAAATTCCATTGACAGAAATGCAACTGAAAATTTAATATAATAATGAGGTTGTTTAGATGTGTCAGTTTGTGGATCAGTTGGAAGCTGTGGTTAAAGTAGCATCTGAACTTTTAGTTATATATCAGATATAATAAAAAACTATAGTAACAAAGACTCAGAAAATACCTCATCTAAAAAAGAAGTTGACTTGATAACACCTTGTATAACCCACAGATGCTGCCTATATAGGCCTACGAGAAAACTCAATAGTATAGTCTATAGAGTATCTATACAGTATATACTCTATACTACAAAAAAATTTGCTACCCTGTCTATATATATGGATTGTATTGGGTTATAACTCAATATATTGAGTATTGTATTGTATTTGGTCAGAGCCTTAATTTTAACAACTTGGAAAGATAACAAATGAAACTTTAGGAAAGTAACCTTGATCTGTAAGAGATTGGGGCATATATCGAGTTATCAGATTGGACTCAACTATAAGCTTTTCTGGCTACAATTTGTAGCAAATAAATGCACCAAACATGCTACAAGATATAAGACCATATATATCAAAAATCAGGGACAGCACCAAAAGTGTACCTGATATATCAGAAATAAGTAACAATTTGCCATTATACATGACAAATTGCGCTTATATATGACAAACTTAATAAGAATGTGATATGACTTTTTTACAAATATTTGGGCTCAAATGAGGTGCACTTATTGTCTATAAAATATGGTCAGGAAGGAGGAAGTCACAAAATATGCTATATTTGATGCCTCAATACAGATTGTAAATCAGATACCAATTTTTGCAACTTTTACTACAAATCAATCAAGCAGCAAAAAAATGCTGTTGTTGATGATTATAGCATAAAGAAATTCCAAGCATAGGGCATTTCAAGGTATGATAAATAGCTGAGCACAGCCTGTTTATCTTTCCCTGGGAAAGGGTTTGCTAAAAATTTAAACGTTTTGAATAGAGATTGTTAGCACTTGGTTTTGTAAAATATTTGAGAGAAATTGATCCAACAATGGGAAAAAATTTGAGAACAAGGTTCAAATATTTTAAAGTGAACATCAACAGATTTTACCAGCCACTTACAGCCACCATACAACTAGGAACTCCCAATTTCTTGAAGGAAAGCTTTGGCATTCAGAAAAATAAATATGTCTGCAATTTAGAGGCCAGTTTAAAATTGCTTCAGGCTGATTTTTGTGGCTGATAATAGAGATTATCAGCAGCAGATTTTCGACATAATTTGAGAACATTTGATGTAAGTTTTCACCAGCATTTGAGCTCCACTTCATGAAGAACTTGGTTTTCTTGCTAGCCAGAATGAGAGCTGGATGGTGGTGACAAAGAGGATGTATAAGTCATTGGATCCTGTGACTTAGAGGATTGTTTTCTCATTCAGAGAAGATGACTGAACACTAGACTTTGTCACAGACTCACAGGTGGTATGACCCATGACGGGCCGTGATGACGGCCAGTGCAGGTACAGGTGCTGGTTGGGTACTGGCCTGGTGCCTTGGACCTGCTGACCCGTCAAGGCCGGAAGCTGTTACGTTACTGCTGCTGATCAAATCACACGGGCTTTGGGCAAACGGGCTACCTTCAACTAGAACATAAAGTTCGGTTCAGAGTTCAGTTCAAAGCCAAACCTGAACTTTAGTTCAGGTTCGGGGTTTGCCAAAAAAAGTGTCCTGAACCTGAACCGAACCTAACCTCACCATCTTTAATTTTGCTAGATCATCAGGTAAGGTCTGGCATCTCAGATCTGCCACTTGCAGCCTTAGACCCTCTCATAATCACTAAGACAAGGGGTCACATAGGGTGCAGTTTTTTTGATTGGGTTTACAAACCAGTTCATAAACCAGTGTTTATAAACACTGGTTTGTAAAGATTTCATTGGTTTCCTGGTTTACAAACCAGGATAGTCATGTGATTAAGTACTGTTGTATTTTATTCAATTCGAATGCCAAAAGTGGTGTGACATTCAATACGAAAATATCAATTCGAATTATTTCCTAATTAGGAAACTCTTGGCGCCGGAGGCGCCCGGAAATGTCATAAATTGCCTTTTTGGGAGAGGATTTTGAGCAAAATGGTGTGACATACGAAAAATTTCGAATTTTATAGCTACTGTGACACGTGACATACGAACTGAATAAAATGCTACAGTACTACCAGCTGATCTAGATCATTAATTATAAGTTCTGTATATTACTCTTATATTAAGCAGATGTCGTGTGAATGTGTGCACATGTTTGGCATCAGCTTTAGCAATTCATTTACTCCACATTTCCACTTTTGGGTTCACTGCTGTTGAAACCCTAATTTGGTAAGAAAAGCTGTAAAGAGTCTAATTGGGACACAAAGCTGTAAAACTAAGATTTTGCACCAAGTACCATAAACAAGTCTAATCCAAGGCTATTTGTGATATTGTTCTTGGCTGTAACATTAGTATGTAGGGCATGTAGACCTTGAGATTTCATGAACTCATAAATAAAATTAGCACATTCAATCTTCAAAAGCTGTGAAGCAACGTTTAAAAGCTGGGGCGTAGCCCCAGCCTGTCTAGTTATATATAGTAAATTACGACCTGTACCACTGGTCCACCCCCAACTGAGAGAACAGAGGTATGAAGGTAATGCTTTCAGCCAGAATTCAAAGCTAAAAAATTTATCTTATGACATCACAAGTGTGGTTACATGGTTTACAAACCGGTTTATAAACACCAGTTTGGGACACCGAAAAGTGTAGACCATTTTTAACACGCAAATCTTCAAAAACTGCACCCTAAAGGGGCGAACAATAAGAAAAGAACTAAGACGATAATTTTGAGTTTTTGCAGATAGTGGGTTGCACAGATGATCATTGATCAGTTTGTTTCCCTAATTTTTATTCGCAAAAAACTCAGGATTTATTCTTCAAGTTTTTGATTGAGTTTTTTTTGGGAGAAAAAGTACTTCTAACTTTGCTCCAGTGGATAGCCCAAATATGTAATGCTATTAATACACCTAGGAAATGAGCAGTAGAGCTGATCAATGATCAATCAAACTCTAACCAAATCAAATCCTAACTATTGTTAACTATTTGGGTTTGCTTTTAATTAGAATGCACAAAAACAAAGAGTTATGTGATTGTATTGATGGAGGAGCAATATGGCTCGACTCCCCTGCACCTGCAATGTTAGTAACTTGCAATTTACCTGCACCTGCACCTGTTTATCCTGCACCTGCACCTGCAACTTAATTCTGCAATTTATAGAGTTGATTTCCACAGCAAAACTGAATAGATGTGACGGCTGAGGTGTCACAAACTACCAGCCTTCTGGGGATCAGTTGATTTTCTATCACAAAATACATGCAGCCTTATATACCTAGTGGAACCAAATAACACCAAATAGCCTAAAATACCAATAATTTGACTTTCTGTGACTTTGTGTGACGTTCTATGCCTTATTAGAACACTCTAGAACTTCGAGTCATAGTGGCTGGGGCTCTAGAACCTTCCTGGCGCTTCCCATGAGTCATATTTCCTTATTTGTCCATTGGAGTCATTCATGAGTCATACTCTTCCACAGCCTTCTGGGTGCTTCCCGGCTAGAAGCCTGCACTGCCTGGCGCTTCTTATGACTCCAAATGACTCTCCCACTGAACCTTATCTGCATTTTAGGGTCTAGATGAGTCCAGAACTTGTACAACTGCTCATAATTGATTGTTTTGCATGTTTATGCATGTTTTTGTGTTCTGAGTGTGCAAACATTGAAAATAAAATTATTCCAGTGTTTAGGACGATTTTAGGTGTGGTTCATTTGCCTGCCTATCACTATGACGGTATCCGCATCTAGCCAAAATTTTGGAATGCCGGGTTATCACCATCACCATCATGAATTCAGTGCCTCAAGGTGCTCCACACTTCATAGCTCCACCGACTCCGATGAACGCCGATAGTAAAGGCAACACCGACAGCTCCAAGCTGACGCACAACAAGCAATACTACCTCGACGATGTCATGTCTGTGTTCCAGGCGTGTTGTCTTCCCTCAGGCTAGACCCTGCATGCCACGTGTCGTATGCTGACTGCACAGTGCTTCTAGGTCGAGGACCAGCTCTTCAAAATCCACCGCCATTTCCTCGTGAAAGAGTCTGAGTTCTTCAACATGATGTTCCTCTGCCCACGAGGCCCACACAGTCCTGATGGTGCCGATGACGAGCATCCCATTCAGACACCGGGTGTCACGCTCGCCGAGTTCGAGGCGCTGCTGGACTTCTTCTACACTGAGTGCGTCCCTTGGTTCTCCTTATACTCGCGCGCATAAGCCTGAGCTTCATTATCTGACTAGCACATACAGCAAATTCAATAACGGCTCTCTAGAGCTGCACAAATGGCTCGACCTCCTGTCTATCGCGACGTGCTATGACTTCCAGCGCCTCCGAAAAGGCGCAATAGATGTGATCGACTCGAACGGCCACAGCCTTTGGGATTCTCATTGGGGGCTGAGCAAGGACTTCCACCCCATTGAGTGCATAGTTCTAGCAGAGAAGCACTCCATCCCGCACTGGTTGCCCATTGTTTACATGGAGCTCTGCAAGTGCGGGACGCCGATTTAGTGCTGGCCAAATATGATTATATTATTTTATGGGCATAATATATTATAGTCATATCATATCCAGAGCTCCAACACAATAATATATTTGTAGTATAGTATAATCATATTCAGTGGCAAAATATGAATATGTTACGAATATATTCAACTATAATCTAGTATGCATATCTCTTCGTATACTTGATATATTTACTGCTAGAAAAAAAATTCAAAACATAAGATGCATGCTGGATTGTCAGGGCAACTTCCTACTAGGCCTCTCTAATTCCAACCTTCAAGTTGGCTATATAGGACTCTCAAGATACAATCAGGGGCATTGCCACTAGCATTAGGTTGGCCTGTAGACACTTGATCAGGGGTTCTACACTAGGGTCAACCCAAAGTGATCACTCCTGACACTTGTTCCCAACTTGTTCCTAATAGGTGTAATGCATGAATCACCATAGATAATAGATAATATGTGACATTTATCAGAAGTAGGGCTAACTCAGACTAAGATTAGTACTATGACTGAGTACATGGACTAAGAAAATAGCTGTGATCATCCACCTTACTATATTTGAATATTCTGTGACTATAATATAGTATAGTCATAATATAATATAATATATTCAAACAGAATCATATTCAAGTGATCCACCAAGGGCATAATATATTCATAATATTCTGAATATATTCAATATTTAATCAACCATAATATAATTCTGGCCAGCACTACGCCGATTCAACTGTGGGAGGCGCAGAAAATCGGTTTCGAGAAGACGGTCCTGCTCGCGGAGGCGCGTGAGAAGATACGCGATAAGAAACACATAGTTGAGAGACCCCCGACCCCACCGTTTGAGCCTGAAACATCCCTACACTCTTTGCTGGCACCCACTACACGGCCTGTGTTGCCAAACAGCTTTCACAACAACAGGTTCCGGGTAAAGACGATCATCGATGCTGTCTTCAACCCGCCACCTCCAGCGAACGATGGATGAATTGATTGTCTGTAAATATTGTCCATACTTGTGCGAATACGGAGCCGTAAAACACAAAAAGGACAGCACATTCTTGGGTAAATGATTGCAGAACGAAGGGTAACTGCGGCGTGTTCCGCTCGTCGTGCTCTACCGAAGGCTGCCAGGATGTTGCAGAAGAAGAACGCCATCGTTCTCTTCCATGCGCAGAAACCAGCCATTCGTCCTCAGCCCCAAGATCTGCGCACAATTGTTCATCGAGCGAGGGATCCGCATGAGCTGATGAAAGTGACCACACAGCAAACAGATTCCATGAATGCTGCCAGACAATAGATGAGTGGAAGCACCTGGTCCCTGTCAGAACAAATAAGGCAGGAGGGCATTCGAAATTGCGGGAGAGGAGAGGCTGCACCACCATGACGAGCCAGCACACCATGCGGAGAACGAAGGGAAGGGAAGAGGGGCTGCGAGGGGGATGGAGGGATGGACTGGTGTCGTTTGAGGGAAAAGGATCTTTAATGCATTTAGCAGGGGCGTGGGTACAGCCAGCGCCACGCACCACAACCAGACACGCCGAAAGTCCCAAGACGTCTCTGTAGTGACTGTGCTGGGGGAAGGACCAGCCAGTCGTGGGCATCGAACCCGATGGGCGGCAGGGCAGAGCCGGTCGTGTCACTGCAATAAGAAGGTTAGTGGCTGGAAAAGAGCCAGAGCAAGTACACGCACACTTCTGCAGACCGGCGCCCAAGGAATAGAGCATGGAGAACACTCTTTTCCGCCCTTCCACCGCCGTTCTGGGTCCTTCGCAACCCCTACTTGCGACAGGGCGACTTTGCAGCTGCCAGCCAGGGTAAAGTACTTGTATGCAGCTATGGAGATGGTGTGGAGGGTCCGAGTACCGGTGGAGTGTCGCAGGACATGAAGAGGCAGAGAAGGATGAGTGTGAGGACACTCGACCCGCTTGACATGAGGGCGAAAAGCAAAAAGAGGCGGGTGTGACACACTCTCCTTTTGACATCACAACGATGGCGGAGCCTCCGGGTGTGACACACTCTCCTTTTGACATCACGACGATGGCAGAGCCTCCACCCAAACGCAAGCGCCCCGATTCCGAAGCCGCATCGGACACCATTATCCGGTCAGAGGTGTGGTTCGAAGATGGAAACCTCCTTGTCCAAGTGCAGACGACGCAATTCCGGCTCTTCCGTGGATCACTCGCCTTCCATTCTCCCAAACTCAAGGCCCTTATCGAGGCGCTTCCAGAAAATGCGGCCCTGGTCCTCGACGACAACCCTGCGGACTGGGAACACGTTTCAAAGAAGCTCTTTCACCAGTGCGTCGCGCAATTCCCCTCCCGTTACTTACGCTGAGCCATTTTCGCCTAGTGCTTACCCTGACAAGGAACTGCTTCCTTTCGTGGTTATCGAGGCATTTGCTCGTATTGGCAAGAAATACGAGATACAATGGCTATTCAACAGAGCCAGAAAACTCCTGAATGCGGCATACCCTTCTGTCCTTGACGTCTGGCTGTCGGCACATCTCAACCACACCGGTGCAACCGCTCATGCACTCGAGAGCAGCATCCTCGCTCGAGTGGTTGACCTGCCACACCTGCTGCCGGTGGCATTCTGGTATCTCACCTTCTCTCACCGAATATCTGGGCTCGTTACCGCTCGCGCAGCCGCGCTGTCTGAGGAGGATAAAAAATCGATTTTGGACGGTTTCCGCAAGCGCCTCCATGCAGAATCTTCGACGACATTGAAATGGCTTCAAGCCGAAGGCAGCGACAAGTGCAAAAAACAAGGCGGGAGCGAATGCACCGTGGCACGGCTGAAATTGTTCGCTTCCATTACCAAAAACTCTAGGGGACAACGTGGATGGTCATGGCTCACCAGTTGGGAGAAAGACCTATGCGAACCATGCATCGCTGCTGGCAAGGCTCTGCATACAGCGGGGGTGCGCGATCTATGGGAGTGCCTGCCTTCCTTGTTTAATCTTCCGCCTTGGCATGAGTTACGAAAATAGGTGTGTGGTGAAACCTGTTTTTTCTTCCTTGGACTGACTCCGAGTCCTCCGATAGGCATATTCTCGTCGTGCATGTAACAATGAACAAACGATCATGCATTATTTTGTGCCCACTTAAACTACCCCTGGCACGCGGGCGGTGGACTCCTACCCGCACGAACTCATTGAATGTGAGCGTTCAACGATGAACAGAAATAATATTTAGAACGTCAATCTTTACCGACATATGCGTATTCCGACCGCCAGATGGCTTCCAACTTGTCCAATGCCTCCTCACTCACATCGACCCACCCTTCCTTCTCTGCCTCCTCAAGCCATTCCGCCCCCACGATGTCAAAGCGATGCCCCGCCCAAGGACCTTGATGGATCTTTTCATACCGCATGCTCACCGAGGAGTTAACCGACCAGCAGATGTGGCAATATAGCAGGTCTCCGAGATGTGTCTCCCACAACGGCACCGATGCCTTTGCGTAGAACGGGGCCCGCAGTTCTTCGGACTCGCGGTAGGGCGCCTGCATCTCCTCGAGCGCTGCCTCTCGCACGTACTGCCGCGTTGTGAGATTTCGGAGGACAGCGGTGCGCGGCTGGAACGGAGGATCTTTTTGCACCACAACGTTGGTCAGCATTCCTGGATCACCGAAGAGCCATAGTGCATCGCCCCGGAAGCCAACACGCTTGAAGAGCGGGAGTTGGACGCGGGATCTGATGTTAAGCAACTCGGAGACAGTCATGGAGTCCTTGTCATTCGTTGGATCTTGTTCGTATTCGGTGATGCCGTTGGGGAAGAAGTGTTTGGGCAGTTCGCTGAGATCGGTGTCCTCCCCAATTACAGCCAGCTGGTCGCCGGCCCATGAGCACGTCACCAAACCCTCGTCGGCACACAGCAGCGCATAAATTTGACGGCGGCCGACGTCCCAAAGAAGTTGGCAAGTCATGCCAAGCACCAGCGCGTCAATGAGATCGTCGATGAAGCCGAAGATAGTATCGAGAAGCTCCAGCGGGAGCGCAACCAGGCCAATGGCCATTTCCCTGTCCGGAGTATGGATAAAGTATGGCAAATAGTATGGCGCACGCACTTTGGGTTGCATTCCGGCAGCCTACACGGTTTCATGTCGATGCTTACATATTCCCCAGGTGCGTATGGCCATACACAGACGTCGAGCGGCGGCAAGCTTACTCTGCGCAAGAACCAGTGCAGTTGGGCACCTGGATGCCCGAAGAAGAGGATCTCCCCCAGCTTCGTTGGATCTGTATACACGTCACAGCGTTTCGAAAGGTTTTTCAGCGTCCAGCTTTGGCCCATGGTGGTCGGGAAGAAAGGAGAAAATCGTCGTCACATCGTGACGACGATGCCAAATTCAGGGGTAGTCCCCGATTGAGCCTTTGCCGAGGGCTGACGGGAGGAGCGTCGGAGGAGAAAATGTAAGGTGTTGGAGGTCAATCATAACGAATGGTATCGTGCATCCTGCAGCGTCCATCGGAGTCTGATTAGGAGACAAGCTCCAGGAAGAGGAGAGAGGACAGCAGGTCAGGGTTGGGAACAGTATGGATTCAATGCAGCAACTTGACAGCAAGAAACGTAGTCTGGGAGCACGTTACTGCTGCACGTATGGCCATCCTCCGCTATTCCAGCGTACATCGCACATTGCTGACGACCTGTTGATTACCCTGCCGGCGAGGGGGTGGTTCCATCGTGCGGCTGCGCTGCCAGGGGTCAGTGGCATTCAAGACGAGAAGATTTGGCGACATACTTGGTGTATTGCCAGTGCGCAACGCAGTGCCCTGCCTCACATCAAGCCTAGACCATCTGCATCCCACCGTCCTCCAGGAATCTATGCATAACTAGGGAGACGGCACGACTGAAATCCGATGAGCGGGCAGGAAATCGTTGTGACGTAACTGAATACTGGCTAACGAAGATTAGTAGCAGTGAGGAAAAGAAGATTGTAACGCGCCTGGTGGGATGTATTCACAGCCTAGTTGCCCACATCAGCAGAAAGCGCAGTCGTATTTCCGCCACATTGGATTCCGACAACTTCTCATTCGACTCCTTCCGATAGAGCACGAACGAGGAGACCTAAGGCCAGGGGACAACACATCTGAAGCTGGGAGTAGTCACCAGCAAAGGACACCCGACATGCGACGCACCTGCTTGAGAACTAGCGACACCGGAGGAAAAAACGCAGCGAGAAAGAAAGGCGTGGATCGTGATTGACACGGCGCGCACGGACCATGCGTGTTGCACGTGCCACGTCAAACGCTTTTTCCTTCCCGATTCGCATCCCTGGCCCGTCCCACGCCGGCTCGATGCTCGATGCCTGAAGCAACCAACATGTAAGGGAGTGGTCACATCGGGTCACATCGGAGCCGAATCCCATCGGCCTACAGATTTTTGTACTTTTCTGAGTCAATGCCCGCACGGCTTCCGGCGCCAAATCTCCGCACAAGACGCCCACAAGTGACAAGTTGTCCGCCGGGCCTCGGGGGCCGGGGCGATGGGATAAGTCACATGATTAAGCCATTGCCTTTTGGGGATATCGTTGGTTGCTTCTTGACCACCACCAGTGGCGCTACCAGCGATGCAATTTGGTGCGTGCTGCGCTTTTTTGCTCCCCGCACGATGCTCACCGGTCCCAGATGCGCTTCCACCAGAGCTCGTTGACCTTGTCCTCCAGCACGTCGAAGATGGCCAGGACTCATCACTGAAAGCATGTGCGAGCGTTTCCAAGAGGCTTCGGCTAGCGGCGCAGAGGCGACTGTTTGAATCCTTACAGATCATGCCGCCCGAGCGCAGGTGGCCACCGTGGACCCCAAAAGAGGCAGTCGCAGAGCTCGACGCCGTGCTGGCCTCATCTCCGGAGCTCACCAGCTGCGTCCGCCGCCTCACACTGTCCACCGCCGCCGATAGCGCGGGGCAATGGGCTGTAACCGACGTGTCGGGACCCATCGCGCGGCTAGACCGACTGCGCATGCTCGTGATCGCGTGTGACACGGCGTACGGACACCCTTGCCCGTGGGCGGACATTCATACCGCGACGAAGACTGCGCTTGCCACGCGGCTTGCGCTTGCGACTATGCGCGAGCTGGAGTTGCGGGCCGTGCCTCTCGCAGGCCTCTGCGAGCTGCTTACACTAATGCCGGCCCGGGACCCGGAGCTCTGCGCGCCGCTCCGCCTTGCCCGCCTGTCGATGTCGATGTGGGAGGGTGACATCATCGGGCCGCAGCTCCGCCGCCCGCCGTTCCGCATTGTGCCCGACTCGCTCATGCTCTACGTAACGCCCCTGAGCCCGCTGAAAGAGCGCCTGGCGGACGTCATCGACCTCTCCGCGCTGCGCCACCTGCAAGTCCGCGTCAAGACGCCCGCGGACGAGGAGTTTGTACAGGATACACTGCTTAGCCACACGACTCGGACACTAGCACATCTCTGGATCAAACTCGAGCACTTCTCGTTTGACAAATACACCAACACGCCGCCCGCGGGCACGCTTACCCTCGATGCGCTCCCGGCGCTGCACACGCTAGAGCTGTGCCTCGCGGTTCCGTGGGACTCGGACATGTCATTCCAGGTTTTGGGTGGAAGCCACACATCCACCTGGCTGCGCAACACCCTTGCACGCATTGCGGCGGCGTCGAGCCCGATCCGCAGGTTGCTTCTGTGGGTCCGCGTCGAGCCAAACATCGCGGGCGAGACATCTAGGTCTCTAGAAAAGGTGCTCGTCGACGCATTTGAGCCACTCGTCCCGCTTCTCCGCACCTGGGCCCACGCGCGCTTCGAGCCCGCGCTGACCGTCCGCCTGCACCTGCCAGACGACGTCGACGAGGTGGACCCTGATATGCGGACCGACGCCCTCGACATCGTGCGGGATGTCTTTGGCGAGTTAGACAACAGCATCGTTGTAGAAGAGGAAGTGCCATGCGCTATGAGACGGAGAATCTGAGATTTGACCTTTGATCTATCAGATTCTTTCTGCTTTGTTTACATAAATTGGGGAAGATAATTTTGGAAGCAATTGTGATTACATCATTCTTGGCCTCACACGAACCAGCTTCTGCGGGCCCTACTCAGGTTCAACACGCGCCGCGCGTAAATCTATCTCAGTTCTGTTAGACTGTTACATCTTGAGATTTGTCGCAACTCCATAATTGCTAGGATATCCAGTCGTAGGCCAGTTTGAATTCCGCACGAGCACTACAACCACACCGCTGCTGGTGTATTCTTCGTCTCCACATCTACCCGTCCGCGCTGTCGCCCCTCCTCAGCAAAGTACACACTGCCGGCTGCACCTTTTCTCCGCTCTTCGGATCCTCCGGCCCACTCCGACCGTCCGCAGATCTTCAACACGTTCGTGCACCACGGCGCTGCCCTCCCATCCACTGCTGGCGACATCAAACAACCCTTCAAATTTCACCGAATATTATTGCTTGAGGTTGGTGTGTTGAGCGCTGTGGTTGAGCTTTGAATGTGAGGTTGAGGTTTGAGCTTGAGCTTTTTTGCTGTGGAGGTTGAGGTTTTTGATTTGGAGGTTGAGGTTTTTGCTTTTGAGGTTGAGGTTTGCATTGATGAGGTTGAGGTTTTGATTGTTGAGGTTGAGGTTTTCGATCATCCAGGTAGAAATTTGACAGGTGACCACACCTACATCAAACCTTGATGGCTCTACTGATTCTTCATCGATATTTGATCTGCCTATTATTGCTATCTTGTAACAGATATCGGAGTACACTTTACCCAACAATAAACAAAGAAGATAGACTATGGGATAGGTAATCTTTAAATATATTTATCTGTAGTAACTAGTTATAACAGATGATGATGTGTTTGAAGGAAGAATGCAAGACCAATACACCACCAACCCATGACGATATCAGTGCGATATTGGGGCAGAACATATCAGGCTCAAGTTTGGGTGATATCAATTTGACGCCATTTCCTGGATCTGTGTGACATCAGGCTGACACCGGATATCAGCATGATATCTGAGCATGGATTCAGCTATGATAGTAAAATAAATTTAGTTTTAAAATACCACACACAGTACTCCAAAATGTGAATCAAGGATAATAATTTCTTTAACTAACTATTCGACAATGTTATATTGTACATTGGCCTGCCACGGCCGCCAAACCTGCGCATCTCGCCCAGCCTTGCTCTGAATCCTCCGCCGTCAAGACATGCACCCCCTCCCCCCTATACTCAGGTTCTCCATGCCACCAATTGGCCTGCATCCCGAGCCCAATATCGGTGGTCTTGCGCTGCGCGAGGCATTGAAAATGTTGACGATGGACAGCTGCGACTCGAGGATCGCGCACGGGTTCTTGATGGCGACAAAGGGGTCGATGTTGCTGAGCCAGCATTGTGTGAGCATCTGGTGGGTGCATTCTTTGGCGCGGCGGAAATGGCTCGGGCCTGGCGACGGGGTCAGTCAGTTTGGGTCAGCGCGGGAGAGGGGGAAAGATGGACGAACAATGGTGGGTGTCACCGGCCTTTCCTTCGTTGGCTTTGGCCCTTCGTTACCCTTGCCTTCGCCGGCCTCACCGGCCTTGTGCCGACTTGAACACTATTCCGCAATCAGCAGCCACTCAACTGCACACAGCAGTTAGACACTTACTTGTCAACTGCGATCTCCTTGACAAGCATGCCCGTCTTCTGGATCTCGAGGATGTCTGCGGTCTTGCCCTGTTTGAATGTTTGTGCATGTTTTGGGTCGCTATTTGCTTCACACTTCCAAATTTGGATGTATGGCTGTTAAAAGAACATGTAGGCTACATTTCTAGGGACAATACTATTTGGTATGACAAGAAAAACATATTTCAACATTGTTGAGTTTTTTGGGCCCTCTGAATAACTTGTCAGAGAGTTTGTGATGAGCCACCATAGCCACTAGGTGGCTGCAGTTCTTCAACAACCAGTGATTCACCTCAAACTACATTTATACATTGTAGAGTCCTATGTAATACCAATAATTTGTGCAAGTCTCATGTCAGGAACAGGGCCGGCCCGGGCCCACGTGACGGTCTCCTGCCAGCCTGACAAGTGTGGGAAAGATGGTTCAACCCCCATAGCTGGGTGGTTGGCAACCAGGCAGCGTAGATTAGGGCTTGGTTTGTAAAAATTTTGGAGGTTATCAAACGGTTTGATAAAAATAGCCTCTGAAACCCTGTTTATAAACCGGTTTTTAGGTTTTATAAACCACCTAAGCCGATATGACTGGAGAGATCAAAATTGCCTTTTTAGGAATTTTTTTGCAGCAAATTTTAGTGTTTTAACTTCATGACCTCGAGATTCATAGACATTAGGGGTTGAAACAGCAAGATTAGATCAACTATCACTTGTAAGTTTGCATAACATGAATTAGTTATATAACATGTATAATTTACTTATCAGCAGATTTTAGAACCCCTGTCATGAATCCTTTAGAACACTCAAAAATCATGATAATAATTAATCTGTATGGTTAGTATAGTATAGTCACACACCCAAGCTCCCAATACTTACTAGGATTAATCATGATCAATATGGCAATATTAGCCGAAAGTGGGTTGAGATCCTACTTGATAAGAAACAATATATTATAATAGACCTATAAGATATGATTAAACCTACTAGCAGTATATAGGAGCAATATTAGTGTAAAGTAAGTCTGGTTTGCTAGCTTCTTTCCTTTCTGGGTGCTTACTAATATAAAACCATAAGACAGAGGGTTTCCAGCCAGGCTGTTTATAAACATATAAAACAGGGGTGTTTATAAACCGGTTTACAAACACCCCTATATAAACCAAGCCCTAGCGTAGATGGTGCCACTGCTGCAATAGAGAGCAGGGTAGGGACAGCTCGGGGCGACTCGAGACGCCCCGCTGCCATGTTGTGTGACAGCGGTGTCACAGGATACGAGTAGTCGTCTAGAGTTTCCTACCCCTGCTGAAGGGAACGAGTCCATAGCCAAAGATCGCTGCCTAGTAGAGTTGGTGCCCAAGACATAGGGCAAGGCATAGGCTGGGCCAGTTGAACAAGCCGTTCGGGGCGGGGCGTGACGTAACGCGGTCACGCCCGACGGTTCGGGGGTCGAGGGGAGTCGCCCCGCAACAGGGGCTGCGGGCCCGAGACCCCTGGAGCGCTTGAGAAGGGTTGCCACTCCAAGGGGCGACATATCTCCTTTCCTGGAGTAACGAGTCGCTGTGGCTCCTAGACACCGCGTGACGGCGCGGTGTGACGCGTGACATGCGGGCCCGATCGGGCCCGCACCCTCCCATCGCCCCGTACCAGGGGAACCCAGAGCTTGAGGCCAGAGAGCAGGAAGAAGTGGCTAGGACAAGGGTGAACATAAGAGACAAGAGCCTGAGCTGTCCAGCCCAACCAAGGGCTCAGGTCAATGAGGCAAGCTAGCCTGGGTGTTGGAAGTCGTCTAGACGCCCCTTTCCCGGGGTATGGTTGCAGCAACCATGCTCTAGGGGACCAGGCCGGAGTAGGGTTCAAAGGAAGAGACTTCAATGCTAAACCTAAGGTACAGGAGTAATACTGTAGTCTTTATATACTGTGGGCGCTAGGGGCCGATCGGGCCCGCTGAGGGTCGATCAGAAGGGAGCAGGGGATGTCTCTGGTCGTCCCTGGTCGCTCCGCTAGGAGCCCAGGGACCATTCCTCTGGAAAGGAGCCATGCCAAAGTCAACACTAAGGAGTGTTTGGCAATGCAACAGTAAGGAGCTCCCTCCTGATCCCTGTGGTTGTCTGGGGCCGATTGGGCCCGCTGTCAAGGGCGTCCGGCGGCGCATCATGATCCCTGATGGCGGGTCATGATGGCTTGATGGCTGACTAAAGCGCGATCTGTGATTATGTCCCTTCTCTGGGATATTAGTGTTGTTGCTCAGTGCTTTGAGCTTGTGAATATATGAGGGCTTGTCAAGCCCTAGGGCTCTAAGGGTGGTAAGGGCCCGTCGGGCCGTATAAGGGCCCGACGGCCCGACCCGAACCGTCACATCTCATAATACTTTATTCAGAAGTTTTTGAGAAAATAGCAAATTACTGAGCCACCAGACCCACTGGGTGGCTCACCACAAGCTCTCTATTTAACTCTATTCAAAGTGATAGAATTTTCCACAATATGAAGATCAAGGATCAATGCCACTGGTATCATGCATTTCCTCTTTCTTAGCACCTCAATTCAGTCCTGTCTTTGGGGAATCAACTTATTGACTCCAAATTCAGAACAGAGTGAATCACTCTCTTGTTGAGAAATTTGGATTTGACATGCTTATCCATGGAAATATGGCCTGCATTATTTTAATGAGATATGGTATTAAATACTACATCCCTCAGATCTGACCACTTAGAGAAATATCAAGCATTTTTATAATAGTCAACCTGGTTAATGCAGACAAGGTTAGAGCCTTATAATAAACTCAAGTTGCATACTTATGGTATGAGTTCAACACCTAAAAGGAAGTGTATCATGCCAAACAGTTAGTTCAAGTGTTTTCCAAACATTCAGATTTAAACTTTGCACAACACAAGCCACCATTTATTTTTAAATCAATTTTCGTTCATTGGTGAGAGCCAAGTCATGTAATGAAGCTGGCAGGTTTCATTTGGAGCTTTTGGCCGGGTGGTTGATCAGTTTATGTCATTGATCAAGGTTTGATCAAGGCTCCATCAAGGTTTGATGCAGGTACCCGGATGACCTTGATCATGTCATGATGAAACCTCAGCAAAAAAAAGCTCAACCTCAACACCACAAACCTCAACCTCAGTAAGTCAAGCACAATCCTCAGTTCTCCACACCCAACCTCAGTTCCAAAAACCTCAAACCTCCAAGCTGAACCTCAACCTCAACCACAGGAACCTCAACCTCAACCAGATGCAAAACCTCAAGCTCACATCCCAACCATGTTGGAAACCTCTAGCTCAAACCTCAACCATGCTTTAAACCTCACACAGTATAGCTCAA